CCTGGGGGGGGGAGAGGAGAGGAGCGTGAGGATGGGTCTGTGTGGGGGGGTGTGGACAGTGCGGACATAAGCGGAGAAATCCACTTGGCAGCGAGGGAACCTCTTCCGCGCACACCCAACTAACTAACTAACCAGCTAATGAACTAACTAACGAACTAACTAACTTCCTCGCAGGTATCCGACTGGGAAGCCCGGCCCCTCACTCCCCGCCAACTGACATACGCGGCTCAGGACGCCCACGTGCTTGTACGACTGTGGGAAGCCTTCCACACCAGGATGCCGGGGGGGCTGGCGGAGAGAGTGGCGGCGGAGCGGACGGTGCAGTTCGTTGCAGCGCCGGCGGCGGCGGCGGCGGCAGCGGCAAAGGTGGCGGCGGCAAAGGCGGCGAAGACTTCCGCTCCGAGGCCCTCCGCCGCATTCCCGGTCAGTGCGGTGGGTGGAGATGGGGAGTGGAACGGGGGGGGGGCCCGCGTGGTTGCGGATATCGTCCTGTGCTGTACATTCACTGTACGAATGAAGTACGATTGAAGTTCAATGGAGGGGATCTTAGGCTAGGTTGTTGGGTGCGCCGTGGCGCTTTATGTGTCAACGCTTTTGACTTAGGGGTTTGACTTAGGGGTTTGACTTAGGCAGGCAGACTTGTTGATGGCAGCTGCCAAAGAGGCCGACTTGGGGGGACTGGGCTTCATTTGGACCCACCATCGGCTGTTGCGATAATGCGGTGCTTGTGGTGTTGCGGTGAAAGAAGGGCCGTGTGGCGTTTTCTCCGCCCTTTTCCTTCGTCCTGTGCGCGTGTGTTGTGGTGTTGGCGCCCGGGTGCCTTGGTGCTTTCCCGCGCACGGGGAGCACGTTTGTGACCATTTCGGTGTAAGTGCTGCATGGAAGTACGGCAAGTGGCGTATCGTACTACAACACGCCGCCCACGCTGCCCCGAACAGCTGCCACCTTCCGCTGCAGGAGGCGGCAGCGGTGACGACGGCGGGGGGCTCGACGGGATGGGCTGCTGCGGAGGGGGGGATAGCGGTGCGGAGCCGGCCACCAAACGCCGGCGTTCAGACGAGTCGTGACGGCGGCGGCCCGGATGGCAACGGTGTCGGCGGCGGTGTCGGCGGCGGTGGCGGCAGTGGGGGCGGCGGCGGCGACAGTGTATTGATCCCGGAGCCATTCAATGTAGGCCGGGAGGAGTACGGCACAGGTGTTTATGAATGTACGGCTACAGCCATGTTGAAACAGGGTTCGAGGGGAGCTGCAGCAGCAGCAGTAGCAGCAGAGGTTGGGAGCGCCTGCGCGGCGCGGTTGTCGGCAGCAGCAGCAACGGCAGCGGCGCCAAGAGTAGCAGTAGTAGCAGCAGCAGTACCGTCGTCCGTAGTAGAGGCCGGACGTGCCTGCGCC